TATTTTCATCAATAATACATATCCTTTTAGACTGTCATTTTCGGATTTTTAAAAACTTAATTTCACACAAAAAATCACGGACTTCTTGTTAAGTTATAATGCAAACAAAAGACTGAAGCATCTTGAACACAAGAAAGGTGGGTGGGGTGCATAACTACATGTATAAAATAAAAAAGCAAAGGCGGATCCAGGGCCGGCGCGCCGGGCGCACGCTCCTCCCTCCATTTGAATTTTTTGTATGTAGAACTTATATGTCCATTATCCTAAAATCAAGGGAAAAACTTCTCTTATTTGTAAGAATTTGTCAACTTCTGGGGGCTTCGCCCCTGGATCCCCACCAGAGATTTGTCATAGACCCACTGGGGGCTTCAATGCAGCCCCCCCCCCCAGACCCCTCCCCTGCCTTCTACTTTTCCCCCCGTTATGAAATTCCTGGATCCGCCACTGCAAGGGGCGTAATAAGCAAGAATAATATAGCTTTGAAGGGATGTGATCTTCGGTATTGGTACTTTTACCTATGATATATACACAAAGACCCCTAGATCTACACGACAGAAATAAAGCTTGAGCGGCAGCTCTGCTTTAAAACATGTATCTACTTCTTGGTACAATCATAGAAAATTATAAGTATTTAGCAAATCCTTGCTACAAAGCACAAACACCATAATATTAAACTTGACATGTAACTAAAATTATTCCATCAATAATCCACGAACATACATAAAAGGATTATAAATACACGTGTCTGTAGAAATTAAAAAGCAATTTGAAATTATTCAATGCTATTGCATTGAACATGCCATTTGATTGACAATCTCTCTATATATGCCAGGACAGACATCTCTACATATTACTTTTCAGGGACGTAGCATCGTTTTTGAAAGGGGGGGGGGGGGCAACCAGAGAAAATAAATAACTTACCTGAAAAGACTTCACAACTAAAACCAAACCAAAATAACGTCACAACTATTGTTACGTCATGTACGTATGACGTTACTTTTTGGCAATTCAAACATTTATGTTGGCAGCGAAAACTATAACACCATATTACTTAAATATCATGTTCTGAAAATTGAATTTATAACAAATAATATGAATATGTATCTTTGTATCATCTTGTCCGAGTACATGTATAATCACGGCCATCTAGAGATACATGTAGAAGTCTGCTCAATAAATCATAATGAAAAATAGAAATGACACATAATATATTATTGTATTAAAAATCTAAAATACGAGCGTATAAATGTAATTAATTTTTTTTTTCATTACTTTACACGAAATCGCCTTGACACGGAGATATATATATATATATGAATATAAGTTACAACCGCTTTAATTCATTCTGTAATCATAAGTTTTCTCTGATTTGTTATCAAATAAGAATAAACGTTTTAATTTTCCAACTAAACACAATATCTTTTATACTTCAGCGTTCGGCAGCAATTGCAATGTTTTAATGCGATAAAAATCGTGTGATTAAAAACTTAATGTGCATGCATCGTCTTTCTTAGGACAATTTTGGAGAATTTATTTTATTGACTTATTTATTCATTCATTAATTTGTTTACTTATTTATTATTATTTTTTTGGGGGGGCACCTGACATTATAATACAATAAAATAGTTTCAATGCAAGGAAAAGATCAGAGGCATTCCGAATATATCGTTCATCTTGCGTTCACCGTTCGTTCACCGTTCACTTTGCGTTCGCGTTTGCGCTCCGTTCGCGTTCTGCGTTCGCTCACCATTCAGCGTTCACACATCGTTCACCAAGTTGCGTTCAGCGTTCACACATCGTTCACTCACCGTTCGCTCTGCGTTCGTTCAGCGTTCGCTCACCGTTCAAGTGGGAAAGTAGAACGTTTCAGAGACTGTATAATGGAAAACTTAAAGCCAAGGAACATGGTGAAAGATCAGAAATACTTTTAACCAAAGGACGTGAGGATAAGGAGAATATTATTCCCTTTGTACATACACATAATCCTCAGAATCAGAATATTCACTCCATTGTTAACCAACTGAACACCATTCTTAAAGAGGACCAAACAACAAAGCCAATTTATGAAAACGTACAATTTATCTCAAGTAGATGTCAACCCAAGAACCTGAAAAGACTTCAATGTAATCTAATTTTGAAGAAAACTATTCAGTGACTAAACGTAAAAATCCTCGATGTGGAACCTGTGACCATCTTACTCAAGAAACTTATAACTTTAACGGCCGAAGATTTACGTTGAACGTCAATATGTCGTGTGATACAAAAATGTTTTATATGTTATGAAATGTCCAGGGTGTAGTGAATATTATATTGGTCAGACCAGTAACACTCTCTGTAACCGGGTTCGTATTCATAAACAGCATATCAACACACAAGAAAACAGACAGATACCACTTAGTGAACATTTAGACGTGTGTTGAAAAAAGAAATTCAAGATAGGCCTATTTCCTTTCTATAAAGTAACAGGAGGAAAAGATATTTGTAGGCGTCAAGAAGAAAAACATTTTATTTGTAAATTGAAAACCAAAGCTTTACATTCTGATTATATATATATATATATAGAGAGAGAGAGAGAGAGGGGGGGGGGGAGAGAGAGAGAGGATATTCAATATTTTGTTGTTGAATATGGAAATTATTTCACAAGTGGGACAGAATTTTTTGATATTTTCACGAGTGCGAAGCACGAGTGAAAATATAAAAAAAAATCCTGTCTCTGGAGTGAAATAAATTTCATATCTAACTACAAAACATTGAATTTTCTGTTAATTACATTTTCTTTGATTTCTCTTTGCCTCTGTCTTTTCTTAACGCAGTGTTGTAGGCTGTGACGTCATAGTTGAGCGGCTGAGACGTCATAGGTTAGCAATTGTGAGATTGAAAACATTGCAAAATTGATTTTAGCAATGCATTTATATATATATATATATATATATATATATATATATATATATATATATATATATATATATATATATATATATATATATATATATTTACATTTCAAAATATTTTTCCTTAAGATTCTTTGCAAATTAAAGACTGTTCATTTTCTCATAAAGTACCATGGATGAGCATGAATATCTCTATTGTTACGTCATTATACCATACTTGACGTCAAAACTATAGTGCAAACTGTTTTGCTTTAAAAATGACAGTTGAATTGTGGCAACTCATCAGAAAAATAATGTAAATATAAGAAATGAATTTAATTTTTGAAAATTCATGAGGTACATGAACTACAACGCTTCACGCCGGCATATTTACCATGAAGCGGTAACGCGCTTCATGAAATATGCCGTCGTGAAGCGTCGTAGTTCATGTCCTCATGAATCTTCAAAAATTAAATTCATTTCTTAAACATATCTATCTATCTATCTATCTATCTATCTATCTATCTATCTATCTATCTATATATATATATATATATATATATATATATATATATATATATATATATATATATATATATATATATATATATATATATATATATATATATATATATATATATATATATATATATAAGGGATGTCAATTTTGTCAATAAATCATATTCGAATATTCAATGACAGTATTCGAATATATTAGATATTCGATAAAATAAATAAGATCTGTTTTATTTTAAATATGCATCATCCTACTCTCATGAAATGTTTAGCGTAGGTATACTTATATTGGAAGTAAAATTGTATGAAGACTTTTGTAGGTGTAGAATAAGAAATTCCATTTTATATTTGTTATTGATTGAAATAAATAATTGATTAAAATGTAGAAAAGGTTTAGCGTAGAAAAGTATAATTTTAACAAATGAAACGTGTATTTATAGTAGCCCCACCTGAGGAACCAGTCGTCTCACAAAAGGCTAGATAGCCGTAACGGTATACTGTTCAGATTTCAATACGTGTAATAAATTACAATTATCTGCCTGATAAGAGATATGATTATAATCTTTGATACAATGTAAACAAATATTTCCATAGACAATTTTCCTAGGTAATTAACTATTTTCCCGATAATGAATATAAATTATGTACAACCCGAGATAATCAAGTAATTTACGCATTTATTCTGAAATTAAGCCCTTTACAATATTAATTACAGATTAATTCTATCGGACATTCATTCAATGATCAATTAATTTTATTTTGATAAGTATACTTTTCACGCCTTTTAGATATTCTTAGATTTCATTTGTTGTCCTCGATTCTTTTAGATATTCTTAGATTTCATTTGTTGTCCTCGATTCTTGATCCGATCGTATCTAACTAATAAAAACTATGAAAGTACGTTTTGTATTATATATAGAGCATGATTGTACAATTCTTTATAACACTTTACTCAAAACAAAATACATGTAATTCAGAAGATTTATAAGACAAGAAAGTAGTGAAAGAAATCAGTCGATGGAAATTGATCGCTAGTAAATTAAACAGGGATAATTCCAGCACTGTTCTAATCAAAATTTATTAATCACAGTACTTCTTTTTATGAAATCTGACAAACACCGAATATTCGAATCTTAAATTCATATTCGAATATCAACTCATCGAATGAATATTCGAATGTTCGAATATTCGTTGCCATCCCTAATACATTATATATATATATATATATATATATATATATATATATATATATATATATATATATATATATATATATATATATATATATATATATATATATATATATATATATATATATATATATATATATATATAAAATTAATTATGTATGCATATGTATATCTGTATTTTTATTGAAGTTTTCCCGAACTTTTTACCTGAACGCAAAGAGCAATTGACTATGACGTCATAGTTTATTTGACTTCACAATTACGACGTCATATACTCCGCACATCATTGTGTAAAGTTACTATGTAACTACTGTTGTTTATTTTGTATTTTTATATATATAATGAGCCTGTAGTTAGACTTCATGAATCTCTACTTAACTATTTAAGGTATGCCAATTAATGTTAAATCATTTGTTTGGTACAGATTTCATGGCGCAGTGGAATAACAACATTGAAGCAATAAATGGTAAGACACTTTTATTACGTTTTTAAAAAAATACAGGGGAATCGATTGCAGAAAAGCAAGTAATCTCAGCTATATGTGTTTGAAGTTTGATCGTCTAAAGACAATAGAACTTGCTCTGAAAAAATACGATGAAAGAAAGATGAATCAACTTGAAAATCTGTACAACTTTATGTGTCTTTATTCAAAGCTAGAGGTGTTTAATGCCTCAGGGATTCAAGTGTAAGTGCTTTTGATTAAATTGAAAATATGTGTAATCAAAATACATGACTTCGCATGTGAGTTAAGGCTAGGTATAGGCGTTTCTATGCAAATGAGCTGATAAAAACGTGTAAGAGGTATATTTATTATTCAAAGAATGTTTTGATTTATTTTCTTATGCATACTTAGTACCCACGATATGTTATAGCCAGTACACATTATGACGTCATATTATGACGTCATTGATCTTACCTACTGGTGGTAATATAACACATCAACAAAACAGCTTCGGCGCAAGGGATTACCCTATTTATTTTTACATAAAAATTGTATAATGCTAAGAAGAATATTCTGTAGATTAATAAAATTGCTGCACAAATCCTAGGCATTTTCTCATTTGATCGGAATTTGAGGAAACTTATACCGGACTGTATATTTTTACCCTGATTCAACTTAAAACTTTACAAATAGAAATTATACAACTGAGCTGTTGATGTTTGTGCAGCAATATCAGCAAACGTTGGAATATTTTGCTTCTAAATTTACTTTGTTTCAGTTAAATAAAATAGAGCATGCCCTTGCGCCGAAGCATTTTTGTTGATGTCCATTATAATCTTGTGTAGTAAAGAACAATGACGTCATAATATAACGTCATAATGCGTACTGGCTATCTCATGTCGTGGGTACCAAGTATGTATTAGACAATAAGTTTTAACTTTCTCTGTATGATAGATATAGTCCTTAGGCATTTTAATTAGTTTATTTGCATAGAAATGCCTAACCTAGCCTTAACTCACCTGCGTTGTTTAATTTTAAGCTCACCTCGACGAAGTCGGGATGAGCTTATGCTATACCCCCGGTGCCGGTGTCAGTGTCGGCGACGGTGTCCCGGTTAAAGTTTTAGGAGTAAGTCCATTCCCAAGTAACAGTCCATTCCCAAGTAACTATAAGCCAACCTGTAACAAACTTGCTTGGAGGATGCATCTAGGGATGGACACTATTACAATTGCTTCGGATACTAGACCTGACCTAGATTTTCCAGATGAGTGACCAGGTTAAAGTTTTTGGAGCAGGTCTATTCCCAAGTAACTATAGGTCCTACCTGGACCAAATTTTTATGGATGATGCTTCTAGGGATGTACACTAACCAACCTGCTTCAGATGCTGGATCCGACCTAGATACTCCACATGAGTGAATTTTAGCCATATTTTAACCAAATTAGCATGGTTGATGTATTTAGGGATGAACACTTCCAGAATTGCTTTAGTTTCGGAATCTGACATGCATTTTTCAGTTGAGTGACCAGAGTACTTTTTTTAGTAGCTAATACAATTATGGCCTGTTCTGATTAAACTTGCATGGATAGTGCATCTAAGGATGAAAACTTCCAGACTTGCTTTGAATGTTGGAACTGACCATTTTTTTCTTGATAAATAAACATGTTAAACGTTTTTTGAGCAGGTCTATTTCCAAGTAACTAAAAGTCCTACTTAAACCAAACTTGCATGGATATTGATCTTGGGGTGTACAATAACTAGAAAAAATATGATGTGAAATTTGCCTTACTTATAGATAACATATTCGTCAAGGTGATCCTCGTAATCTTTGATTACCTATGTTTTGAAGGATGAACATTATGTAATTAAATTATGTGGAGCTTCATGATGTTTTATATCAATTCAAGAGTATTTTAATAATCCTTTACCTAGTATGTTGAACTAAAAACCAGAGATGTTTCTTTATTAACAAAGAAGAGATTGTAAAATAAGATTTATAAATGTGAAAAACAGGAGATATAGTTAGGGTCTAAGCCACAGCTACACTAAACTGAGGACTGGAATGAAAGATATAGACGGGAATGATTTGACAACTGGTTACCTTAGTCAATCATTTCGAACTTGAATTTTCAAATCAACAAAAACGGGCATTGCTCACGAACTTGTTGGCTTTTTTGTACCTTTATTTTTTTTTATTATTTTTTTTTTTATTAATTTTTTTAAAGTTTTTTTTGTACCTTTATCTTTTTTATTTTTATTTTTTTTTTTTTTTGGGGGGGGGGGGCTTTTTTGTACCTTTATCTTTTTTTTATTTTTTAACTTAACAAATGTCAGAAAGAAGACAGGTTGTAAATTTCGAGCGTTGAAATTGACACCCATTTTCTACACATTTGAAGACATTCAAATAGCTACTTTCCAAACAAATCTTATGTTCTTTAGCATAATGTGACTACTATAATTTAGAATGAAGGAATAAGAAGCACTGTACGTTAACTTCGAACCTCTCAACTTAAAAAAAAAAATATTTCTCCCATTAATGCAATATGATTTATTACTCCCTTGCAGTGATTTTTTTTTTTTGGGGGGGGGGGGGGTACTAATATGTTAGAAAACATATATTACATGTATGACGCCCCGTTCTGCTACGTGTTATCGAATCTCATATTTCGAATTTGGAATCTCGAATGTAGAATGTTAGACAGATCAGACGGTTCATTCGAAATTAGAGATTCGAAATTTGATTTGAAGATTCTTTATCTAAATCAACCAATCAAAATTCTTGTTACAATATATATAGATGATTTTATAGAAAATAGAACATATAATATTTAAATCAGGTTCATTAAATGTCATTAGAGGGGAGGGGGGGTATTAGTATTCATCCCCCACGAAGGGTATCCTGGGAATATCATGACGGACTGACTACATAGTACTTCAAATTCTCGGTATATGTCCTAGGTGTAGATTAAACTCATATTTCAATTATATCAATGATAGTAATTATTATGAAATTTATTTCATATTTTAAAAATTGATGCATCTCAAGGGGTCAACTATTAGGAAAAATCTACAGCGTAAACATCAATAATTGTATGTTAAGCAAAACTGGTAACTAACAATTTCAAAAAATTAAAGGCGGGAATGGAAGCAAAAAATGGAAGACAAACCCTCTGTTTGTGTGTTTAAAAAAATGAAATTAATTTGATTGATTTTGTATGATAAAAATATGTCACAAGGTAGGAAGGCCTCCACATTCCCTTTCGCGTTGAAACGTTGGTTAGTTTTTATTGATTCTTAGGCCTGCACATTCTATTACAATTTCAATGAGTTACTAACAACTTACTGCATGGTTTTATTGTCCAAGTCAAAGATAGTGAAGTCGGAATTCAGTTGCTATGTTACTTTTCAGCATATATATAGTATAATCGATTTTATAAGAATTTGCAGAAACATGTCGGAGTCAAAACCATCACAGAATATTCTTTAACTAATATGGAAATTGGCGAACAAGGCGTTCAAAATGCCTTTAGCTTCAAACGTATAAAGTCATTTTCGTGTTTAGAATAAAGTTTGTATTATTGAAAGGTATGAAATCATGACAAACCTTTTCTGCGAAAAATTCTTTCAGTCAACAAAAATCATTCATATGGTGTTGGGGGGTTCGAACCCAAGCAATCAAACTCTTGAGTACGTGTATCATTTCTTAGTGACTAACATGCTGGCTTCTACGCTACACAGCCCATGATAAAAAATCGCTTTCTAAATCATGCTTGTGAAATGACCCTTGATTAAATTGTCATCAAATATTTCTCGGAAAGTTGGGAATGATGTGTCAAAAAGTGAATTTTTAGGTATGGGGGGGGGGGGGGGTCTTTCCTCCATGTTTTTGTTAATTGAAATGAAAATACTTTTAAGCATACTTTGAATATAACCTTTCCTTAAAAAAAGATCAAAGACTCACTCATGTGGGGAAATATTGGTATATATAGTATGAAAAATAATCCTTTTGCCCTCTTTGGGGTGAATATGCTATTTTATAGAAGAATCATTTCATTTTTGAAAGATTGTAGCGAATTTATTTTGGATGTTTTACATGAACTACATGTTAAGATATGTAATATCAAAGAAAATTTTAAAGAACTGCGAACGATAGTATTGTTCTCCCGCCTACCTCCAAGTCAATTTTCAAAAGTTAACGCATTTGAATGATTTTTCGTATCTATATAGATATTTATATGAATTTTCATAAAACATTGCTTCTTTGGGAAAACAAAGAGAGATAACTCTATAAATTTGGTAAAACTTGTGTTTTTCACTGTAAAAATCTACGAAAAACGGAAAATATTTTTAACCCCCCCCCCCCCCCCCCGTGAAACAAAAATTCCTTTTTTACAGGTAATATGGACTCTCATTTCACAAATTCATACCAAAGCTTTTTGTGTTTCACGGGGGGGAACATACGTTTACAGACAAAACACTACAAAAATGCTTATTTTTTCACAAATTGCAAAGGGGTTTACAACTAAAACATTGTATTTTATTAATAATATATGTTTAATTTTATATGAGTAAAACATAAGAAAAGATTTAAGGAACATTTATTCATATCCAAAAATATTTTTTAAATGTGGTGATACTTTAAAGCCCGATTTCAATGAAAATATCGTCTACCTCCCTTATTTAAAGAGAGGGAATTAGGGGTAATTAACTATTTGACACTGGAGTTAGAATTATCAGTCAATTACCATTGAACTGTTCTTTGGATTCAACAAAGATTTTACGGCCAAATTCCCATTAGTATTGATTTAAATGGGTGTAAAATGTAGGCGGGAATCGAGAGTTAGCGTGCTTAGTTCTTTGTCATAATTAAGATATAAGGTAGTACAAAACACCCATGAAATCTGTCTTTACTCATTTCTTATAAGTACACCAGAAAGAATAATATCACTATAATGTCAATAATTAATGATCTTTGTAAGAGAAATATTAAGTTGTGACATATTTTCGCCATATTGTGTAAAAAA